ACATGAATTTCAGCAAAATTCTTGAAGAGAATTATGTGGCATGCGACTGTATCACATGTGAATAACCTCGATTATTTCTTAATTTGTTTTCCTGTAATTGGATATGCATTTTAGGAGGAGGAATGGACATCCTACCTGGACCTTCAGGGCAGAGCTTCCTGGGAGAATCATCAGGAAATCTGGATTCTGGGCAAGGTAAGATACTCTTGTGTTAAGTTTGGCAGACTGACGGTGGGGTCCTGGTGGGGTGCAGTTTGTGAACGGTGGTCTGAACGGGTGGGAAAGTCTGTGCACCAGATATTTTAATGGTGCTTATGTGACAATGAATGTATCCATAAACATTCTGAAGCATTGCTTCTTTGATATCTGGTTTGGCTATTGGCTTTTACTGCTGTTGGAACAGAAATTAGTTGCATAGTTGTCTGTTTCACAAGTTTGCAGTTGTTACGAGATATTTCCATTTTGGTTTTAGTAGATGAACTGCCCAGCTCCTGTGCACAGCCTTTCTGATTTTCTTTGGCACAGTGATACACAGTTGTTACAGTTTATGATGTCTGTATTCACATGGGACTCAGACTTCTTGTGGTACAGGACTGAGGTCAATGTGACCTGAAGTTGCAAAACTGTGCTAGTGTATTTCACTGGGACTGGAAGGAAGGAAACTATTTAATCATGATACAGATCATATTTATTGACTTTGAAAAGAATAGAGTCAGAACTCTAAATCCACTCAGTTAAGGAAGCACATCGCGTTATTCTTTGTTACTTGTTACAGTGGACCATCGCAAACTGCACTCGCTGGACCCGCGCCCCTGCCCAATCTGCAACCGCATGTACAGTAACCTGTCGAACCTCCGTCAGCACGTTCGCCTGATCCACAACCCCCAAACTGTGGCTTGTCCGCTCTGCAGCAAGCCATTCAAGACCAAGCTCTATCTTAAGCGTCACCTCATGAGCTTCCATGAACTACTCTGTGGTAATCCAGTTCCTAGTGGAGTTCAAGGAGGTTCTAAACAAGGTGGCGAATTCTATCCTCCACCGCCTCAAGTATTCCTGGGCCCTAGTCCTGTGGGTGAGGAGGAAGAAGGCAAGAGAAGTTCTGAGGGTGTGTCAAAGGGCAAAGAGCAACAAAATCTTCTTGAGATATTCCATGTTTCACGAGCTAATATGTTGCACACATCTCTGCCACAGTCTTGCAATGACGAAAAATCCGGATCTCACGCAGGAAAGACTAAGGAGCCAGAGGTGTTCCGTCACAGAAGTGTACACAGTGTAACAAGTCATGAAGACAAGCCAAATTTCCATGCCCCAGTCAAAGGCAAACAGAGTAACACAAATAAGGACTTGTTTCAGATGCCACGTATTTTCCACAGCATTATTACATCTGCACCGTCTCAACAAAATATTGAAGATAAAAGTATTTTTGTGAACTCTGGAAGCACTTCTCAACATTCCAAGACAAAAGAGTGTCCACTTGCAGTTCGAAGTTTCCATAGTGATGAAGACAAAGGTGGATTTCTCTTAAAGAGTAAAGATATACAACAAGGACAAAATCCTGATTTCTTCCAATCCCCTGGAGGTTTTCCAAGTGCCTCACAAGCACAAACTGCTATTGAAGAAAAAGTTGGTAGTTTTCACACCCCATCCTCTGTTCATACAAAGAATAAAGATCTTACCCATCAAGATTTGTATCATATAGGTCGAAGTTTCAGTAATAATAATGAGGACAGACTTATTTACAATAGTACATCTGGTGATAAAGAAATCCCAGTTTCTTCATATCTGTCTCATAACCATAAAGAGGATCAGGTTTTTATGAGCTCTTCTCAGACTCGAACCCAGGATAAGATAGTTAACAGTGGTGATTATTGTTCTCCCAAGAATGAAGAAAACTCATCAGCATGTGCTAATTTTATGGATGCCCTGTCTCTCGCAAGTAATGACAGTACAAGATTGGCGCTCCTGTCGGTATCTGCTGGCGAAGGGTTGCCGTTCCTCAATCAGCATTCTGGTGGCAGCCAAGATACGCTGCCTTTCCTTAACAAATCGTATTCACACGCCAAACGTGGGCAGCCTGAGTCATCGATGGCAACTGAGACCTTAAATCACAAACCAAACAATTAGAATAGCCAAATTTTGATTCCTTTTAATCCCTCGTTACCACCAAGTACACCATCATAAAGACGAATGAACAGAGAGGAATGCCATTAGAGGCAGTGGCTACTACTGACACGCAGACAACAAGAGCTCGTATTCCTTACAGATTTACTAACCCTTTCAGAGAGGTGAATGTTTCTCTTGGTATTAGAAAGCTCTGTTTTATTCGTTCATGTGCAGTTTTATCCACATGCTTTTTGTGTCACTGATTTATTGTGCAGTTACAACCAGTTATACTGTAAGACACAACCACTTTGAGGGCATTGAACGCGGCACTGTGCTCATGCAGTGCTGCTACTAGTCGCACAGCTGCCTGTATGACTGTTCACTATTCTTCCACCGGTTGGGTATCCTTCGCTTATACTGCAATTTCAACACGGGCTTTGAACCACAGATTCAGCGTCTGTTTGCTTTAACACTCCGTACTCTGCCGCATCTTACTTTAACACTTGCCTGTGATTTCAGCACTCCTGATTGTCATAGGAGTTCATGTTTATGTAAGAATTTGGACCACAATACATGTTTTGGGAAATATCTCTTGCTATAGTGTTCGGTACTGGCACAGCACGCAAAGACATATCTGGAAGGTACGAGCGATTATGTGCGTGCGCGATTGTTCAGTCGTGATGTTACCACAAGTAGTTAATACAGGAGGCTGAGAGTGGTCAGGTGGCCAGCATTCACAGTAGTCCGATCTCGTGACATTGTGTTATTCGTGGTGGAAATGGGTGAATAAGTTGTCTAGTTAAGGTTCACATCGAAATGGCAGACTGCAACTAGCTAAGCCAAATACCTTTTTACCTCTTTTTCTTTTGAATTACGGTCTACTTCTTTACAGTTCAAGGTTTTTGTGCCTGTTTATAAGTGTGTGGTGTGGCTTGCACAAGTAATGTGACACATCCCAACAAGATTCCACTTCTTGCCACAATTTTTTTAAATGGCTGTGATGAACCAAAGCAGTGGCGTGTCAGATTCTGTCTAGGAGCTTGTTCAGAGTTCTTAGCGTAGGTGGTAGGTAGGCCTTGTCTGTCAGCACCAAACTAGAAATCCACTGGAATCAGGTCTGGAGACTTGGGTAGCCAACGTCGAGTCCATTATTGTGGAAAGGTTTAATCGAGGAACTACTTCATATTCCTGTGCTAGTGCGGTGGGCCCCATCTTGGTGAAAAATCTCACTGTTGGCATCCTTCTGGGAAACAAGGAAATATGCCGGTAGGTCGAGTTGGGAGGGACCGCATGTGGTATATTTGGCGAAGAAAAATGGTCTGTAACCGTGTGCTTGTTTGACAGCGTGAAACACGGTTTCCAACATTCCACAGAATGTGGTGTATGTTTTTGGAACCCCAGATGTTGAGGTTATGATGGCTGACTAACCAGAAACATGAAATGTCACCTTGTCACTTGGAACAGTCTTGTTCTCATGCTGATTTTCTTTATCACTTCCTGCATTGTCATGGTGGCACCTTTTATTTGACAGAAAATCATGACAAGTTACTGACTGTAATGAAGTTGTATAATTAAATATTATAAATCCTGTATAGTGACCTACACATTTAGGCTGTACTACCATCGTAGTCTGTCAACAACATTGAATGATGTGTTGTGTTATGTTCTGGATTGACAGGTTGATCGTCAGTATCCAGAGTTTGAATTTTTTCCATGGGAGTCATAGTCTTTTATAATTTACAAATTAAATTTCATTTCACCTTCATTGGAAAACATTTAGAGATTGTTTAGTGCAGTTTGTATTGCTACATAAATAATTCTGCAGGAAATCATGATATGCAGAAATAACATCCAGAAGTGTACTGAAATTTTATGCAGGTTAAAGATCAAGTACGTTCAAATCATCAGAAAGTATCATGAATGCCATTAAAAAAAGTGTGCAATGTAGTCTTAGAATGGTTTCGTTGAAGTTAATTGAAGTGATTCCCCCCTCAGTGTAGAATTCTCTTTTTGTGCTGTAAGACAAGCTTGAAGTAGGTGTAGTTTTTCTTCGTAAGTTCAATTCTTTTCGTAGTTTAGATGCGTCATGTTTGTGTTGAAATTCAGTATATATTTATTTATTATTTCAGTCTATACACAAACTTAATTTTTAAAATGTTGTTGTTAAAATTAAAAAGTCATGGATAGTCATCATCCGATCACAGACGCAGACACACCACACATCACAACTCTTGAATAATGAACAACTGACCAAAAATATGCAAAACACTACGAAGATCAAAAGGAATACCTACAAAAAGAAATCTACAAAACAAATAAATCAATAAAAGCTTGCATTAATAAATATATATTAGTTTTAAAGATGAAAATAACAATAAAAACCTGAGGATGATGCAATAGCATCGAAACATGTCGTAAAATAATAAACGCTGAAATGTAACGTCGTAATAACGATGAAAAGCGCTAAATTTTAATTTTAATTTTAACAACAACATTTTAAAAAATTAAGTTTGTGTATAGACTGAAATAATAAATAAATATATACTGAAGTTCAATTCTTGTATATGCTTATTCATTTATCAGCTGATTGATTTATTACCTTGATGATGTTTTCTGAACTCCTTATGGCATATTGAAATTCTTCACTCTGCAATGCTTTGTATGACATTTATAGAATGTTAAAGAACTTAATCTTCCGGATTCTTCAGTACATCTTGGATCCACTTTTACATAATGGCACCACTTGTCATCTCCTCCATTTTCAGATCTTCTACCGCTGTCTTCAGAGACTGCTAGGTCCACTAATTCCCTTAGGTCTATAAATGCCTGTGGAATTTTACTGTAGCAGCTTTTAAATTTATTCACTCGTGATGCTTCATTTTACAAAAGTCTTAACAAAATTTAGACTATTTTTTGCCAGAGAATCATTTGCATTAGGACTTTTAAATTCAATTTTTTTGGGTGCAGGAAAGAGGCAAACATGCTGAGATCTCTGACCGAATGAACACTTCCTGTCTTGTGATGAGTTGAAGTTGATCCTTTAGCATCCACATCTAATAGCATCTGTGATTTGATGGCATTCTAGAATGCTGTAGGGCGTTCAACGTTCTGTCATACGAAGCTTTGTAGAAGTTAGTTTTCACAGGAAGAGACATGCCCAGTGTCCATTGCAGTACACTAAAAACTTTGTAATAACAGTGGTAGTTCACAAAAGTTTTATTTGGTCGACCAACATCTAAACATCATTCGTTGTAATTCAGATCTGGCAAAAATGTCTTTCTTAATTTCAAATAAAATTGGAGGGTACAATTTAAATTCGGCGGAGGTGAATCTGTCAGGTATAATAATCGTTACTACTCGAGGATGCCGTGGTGTAGTTCTGGTTTGCATTCCTAACCACATTTTGCCGTATACGTATCGAAGCATTTTCAAGATTGAATCGTGTGGCTTCCCTTTGTATAAACCTGCAAAGTATGCAACTTTGGTAGGCAGAATATTGAAAATCATTAGCAGTTTTGTTTCTAGTCCCATCTTCAGACTGATCTGAGTTAGAATTCCAAATCATTAGCAGTTTTGTTTCTAGTCCTGTCTTTAGACTGATCTGAGTTAGAATTCTTCATTATTTCATATTAATTCAGGTACCTGTTTGTCATCAGAGTTCCTAGTTTCTGGTCTCGTACGGTAATCATTGCTTGCACTTAGACCTGGTCTATCCATCTTATATTAATTGTGCTAAGTGACTTTGTAATTGTTTAGTTTAATCATTCACTCATCTGAATGATCGACATCTACAGTGCGTCCCAAAAAGATGCTGACATATGTAATGGTTGTGTGTATACATCTTTTTGGGACGCGCCGTCTATTTGAACTGGGTTACTGTGACATGTATCATTGCGTTAGTTACCCTTGAACATGGAAGACAAAAGACCTGATCCATATGAAAAGGAGTTGTGTCTCAAGTCAATGTGATGCTGTAACTTCATAGTGATATGAATTAGATGCCTCTAACTGTATCAGCGAATACTGTCAGCATTCAGCTGTTGAACACTAACATTTTGTGACATTATTGCAGTTATTCTTGCGAGGTTCTTTTTTATAGTTGAGGTTATCGTATTCATGAAATTTGTGGTGAGACGGACAGCCGGCTCAGAGTGCGAGTTCGCGTTATATAGAGAATATATAAACATGTTAGAAAGTAGGACTGGATATCTTAAAGAGACATTTGAAGGTTATATTGGTAATATACCAATTTCAGACCGTGTTGTACGAAATGTTATGGATCGAATTTCAATATTGGCTGATTAGAGGCCAGGCAGGGTTGAAACTATTGAAATAGCACTGAGCCTCGAGTGCTTCATTGTCACTTTTGTTGTATTTGACATAATTCTTCTGAGTGTGCAGCAGAGTGTACTGTAGTTAATGTCATGAACTGGAGTGTCATGTGTCGTGTTTGTCATCATAGTTGTAGTCGTAATTGGAGAGTCTTTATTAAAAATGTTATGGTTAACCAGTTTAGTGAATCTCAACCCATTGGCAGACTTTCACATCTGTCTGATGTCCACCCTTTAATAGCTGTAAAAAAAGTTGTCAGAAATAAGTTGAAACGATTGATCATTCGGCAAAGTATGTGGAAGTGTTTTCGTAGACTCGAGCATTTGTGTTGAAAGCTTTGAATTAATGTTTAAATAGTTATTTTGAGTAGACCAAATAAAGTAATATGCCAAGGGGTTAAGAGTTGTCATCAAACCAATACAGTGAAATCTCTGTGTAAGAAGAGTTTTAAAATAAATAAACTTCATAGGTAGTCAGTCAGGGAACTCCCTGTTTTGCAAGCCGTCCCGCTAATATTCTTTCTTGACCTCAGCACTGGATGGGGGTGAGTGGTCAGCATCATGACCTGGTTGCGCTTTACTCCCGCGAAGGGACCCCGGTACCCATCGGATAGGAGGCTTGGTGGGCCCCAGAGCTTGTCTGGACGCAGAGGCTAGAGGAAAAATCCTCTGCCCCCGTTTCGGATTGACCCCCGGTCATCCGGTCTGCAGCCAGTCGCAATATTGACTGAGCTATGCTGGCTTCTTACCAGACAAATTTTAAATTTCAGTACTGGGGGAAGAAAATGCAGCTTTGAATTTGAGCTTCAAATAGGAAGTACTTTAATATTCAGACTTTGATTTCATCTTCAGAATGCATCCTGCAAATTATAGATGATTTGGGTTCATTCCCCAACAGGAATATGTGGATTTTTCACTTTGCCAAAGGTTCTCGGACTGTTCCAGCATCTGTAATAACTGTGTAGTTACTGACTCTATGATGTAGGATGTCACTTGTATGGTCAAAGAATTCCCCATCGCATGGAGCTTACGTTCAAACGAGCCTGACTCTAGTCCCTATTCTGAGCCAGTTCAATATACTCCCCACCCTCACATCATATTTGTTATACATTTTTCATCTTCCTAATGGCTGGAACAGCGATCCTAACAATCTCGTCTTTAACTGTAATCATACTCCGGTACTGTAGTAGTGGAGGGCCAAATAATCAAGACATTGTGTTATGCCGTGCAGACTTCAATGATGTAATTGCACTCGGCGATGATAAAATTGGCAATAGAGTTGTAATAGTGTCTCATAATTAACCGATGGGATCCATTGTGTAGGAGTCAAGATGGCTGTCTCTAGCACAAGGTGCAGTAACCTCCTCCTCCATTTCCATTTTTAAGCCCATGGCTGGACCATTACACCTTACATTTCCTAGGTCTGTCTGAATCTGTTGCTAAATAGATTTCACTGTATTGAGTTTTGCACTGGTATTTTTAACGCACGAATTAAGTATATTTCAGAACACTTTGAACTTTTGTAATTGGAAAATGCAGGTAGTTATAATTTTTGAATTGTTCATCTCACTGAAGCAATGTTTATTTATTATAGTGTGATCAGCGTAGGTTTTGTAAATAATATTTTATATTAATTTTTATAAAACCATATCAAACCTCAGGTGAGACCATTAAACCAGGGTTTCCTACAGTTTTGTTTCAGCGGTACGGATTGCCAAAATCACGTTTTTGGTAATTAAAATATTCATCGGCTTTGTTTGTTAACAAAATTATATTAGTGCATTATTTCCAGTCAGAGGTCAGAAACATCTCTTGACACTTTTCGGAACTCTTCTTATTTTTGGGTGTGACCACGGAGGTTTCCATTTTGTCATCACGCGGAATGAAAGTAGAATACCTCCCCTGTAACCATCCTGCCACCTGGATGAAGCGCAGTTTTGTTTTAATTGGGGCTTTGTGGTGGTCGTGGTTTTATAAAGTGCATTCATTCCCAGATGATGAAGCGTTATTTCAGCTGGGGCCGTACACTTGCACAAGATATGTGGGGCAGTGCTCGTTTTTTAATGGAAATTCATGCAAGTGGGGCTGTTTGCCAGTCCCAGTTTCAATAGGCGTCTCTTTAAGTGACAAGTGTTTTTTCAGTAGTCCTGACATCGATTCCTACTCATTCTTCTCATTATATTCTTGAATGCGACCCTTCATAAGTTTTCATCCAGGTGTGAACTGCCATTATTCCCACTGTTTTCTGTTCATCCAGTCCCTGGCAGCCTACAAAGCCAGTTCTAATCCTGTGAATGGATGTTCAAATCTCTCTGTGCCTGGAAATGTTATTCCTTTCAATTACCCTGTCTCCTGCTAGCCACGTCATTTGTACCATGTTATGTTACGCGAATTTAATTTGGGAATGTTGGCAGTCCCAGACTGACTTAAAGTTCGTCCGCTAATTGCTAACTGCAGCCATGAGTGTGCGCCTTCTATGTATCCATTTTTAAACTTTTGAACCAGTTGAATGATTTTTACGAAAGTTTTTACGAGTGTTATGCCAGTGGAGGCCGCTCTGTCGTCATTTTTTATTTCGTGTAGGTTTTGCTGAAATCATGGCTGGCATCCAAATTTTTTGAGGTCGGAGAAATATTACTGCTCCCTAATACAGTATAGGATCGTGAAATTGTATATCGTATGCAGTTTTTGTTGAGGCAACTTTTATCTAGAATATGAAACAAGATGACAGCCTCGCAAAAATGTCCCTGGCGTTCAGTTTGACAGAGATGGGTAATGAACTGCTGTAGCTAGGAATTTTAAGTTCCGTATGGTAATAGATCAAAGACGCAGCTGTGAAATATTGATTTATAAGTCAATGACTACAAACATGCAGATAAATTCATTTCAAAAATTAATACTAATTACAGACTCAAATGATAGTGATGATGTGTGAGATTGACATTTGCAAGCAATAACAGGAATCTTTAACTTCGGTAGGATTCAGTCTTAAGCCCTTCTGTGCGCAAACCCTGAACATTTCAGAGAACCTTCAAGGTGGAGAGATGACAGCATCTTAGGACCAGTATTTGGTAGTTCTGCTTTCAGTTTTGCTGTGGTTCTTTGCACATGCGTAGGTTCGTTGCCCACTTGAGAAGAGTGACTGAAGCCTTGGTTTATGGTCTCACATCAGAACTGATAAAGGAAGGCGGGACTCACAGAAAACTGATAGTCGAAGCCTTCCATTATCCCCTGCAGCAGATAGACACGCAAATGTAAATCTCAGGTTCCTTGTTGTCTCCGGCGATGTCTTGTTTCTAAGCGGGTAAGTTGCGGTGGGACTGGGTGGCAGGTGCTCCTGCCATACAACAAAGCTAACAGCACTTTTTGTAACGTAAGTTGCGGTGGGACTGGGTGGCAGGTTCTTGCTGTTCCTATAGATGTCAGGTGCTCCAGCTAACAGCACTTTTTGTAACACCCTGTAGCAATTACCGCTTTATCGAACACCACACGTTTTGCTACTGGTTTCAACGTTCAGGCAGTCATGACACTTAGTTCCTCTCTAAATTTGGCTGTTGTGTTGAGACCGGCGCCATCCAGTTCATTCATTGAATTTGTCAATGCAAATCTTTATAGAAGAGGCAATTGGTCAGTTTTAAAGCTTTATATCCACTGCTAAGATGGCTGTGATAATACTTACACTTTTAAACAAGACGTCTCCCCACTGTTCACTTAGAGTCTCTGTCATGTCACTGGATTTCTACAGATATGTACTCGTGCAGTGCATAAGATTTTGTTGATATCTGTTTGCTGGAAAAGGGAATGTGTATTCTTTATAAAAATTAATCCTGTTACATTGTAGCTGAATAGTTGCTTTCGTAGCGTGTACATAAAGACTGGAAAGTTTTGTACAGTGTGTTCACTGATAAAGTCACTTCCCAGTTCCCAGCTGGAATTGCAAGACTTGGCCGCCAAATGCTAAAAGGATTTCCCAATATAAGTCGAGTATTGCTCTATAAAATAATAAAATCAACTTTCCTACGTTGTAATTCCTGCTAGAATCCAGGAAGTGACTTACCACTGAGCGCACTGTATTTTGTGTTTTCAATAGTTTGACTGTGTTTCGTCAGTTTGGCACCTGGGCGCTGCCTCTGCTCAGACGCCGATTGTCGGAGGCAGCTCTTTCGTGGAAGAATACTTTCTTTTTCGATGTAATTATCTAACACAAATGGATTGCTTGTTCATTAGAATGTGCACTTTACTTACTTCAGGTTTACAGATTGAGATGAGTTTATTGTATATCTGTGTAACAAGTGTTAATGGAATATTTATATTTTCTGCTGACGATCAATATTGTACGACTTACGTGTTGTTGAATTACTTACCACAGTGGTAACCCCATCAAGTTGTGTCTTAGTTACTCAGCTGCCTTCTGTGGAGCAAAAAGATCCGTCACTTTATTCCCAGAGTCCGTTCACGAGACCTCGTTCTGAACCACTTGAATTCCATCTACATCCTCGTGCTGTGTTTTACTGTAAATCTCCCATTTACCGTAATGAGGTGCAGAATTTGAGCAGCTGGGCACATTCTTGAGGCAGTTGTTTTATTCCAAATATGCCATGAACAAGCCCCTCTCTCGTAAGTCGTATCTCCAGTTTGCTCAGGTTTCTGTCTGATTCAAGTGAACATAAAAGCGAGAGGGTTATGCCATGAGACGGAGTGTTTGCAGTGGTCCATTTAGTCTTAATCAGCCCAGTGCATCCTCGTAGCAAACATGAATTGTGTCTTGTCAAAGACCCGCCATGCCGCTGCATGCGAGATTGTCCTTGTATTAATTAAATTCTGTCATTTGATTAGACTGTGAACTTGTACACAGGAGCGTTAAGCCCGTATGATAAGGGTTTGAAAAGCACCCAATTACTTGTAATGTTGGCTACGCTGATATAATATTACTGTCTCCAGAGATATTTTGTTTGTATAACGTTGAATCTCTTCGTTGTTTTATTTTGTGGAAGCTTTTTTTCAATTTTCATCCTCATGATTTCAGCTGCATAATACTCGCTGATTAGTGTTACCGAATTTTAAAGAAATCCGCAGTCGAGAGCGGAACTCTTCTAAGCTTTGTAAGGTCCGAATATGCGGGGCATTTCTGTATGCCAGTGCTGCGAGTTGCTTTTGGGGACTGCAGAACATCACCAGTGAGAAGTCGGAATAATTTTGTTGTTGTTGGACAAGTTATGTGACGCATTTTCATGTCTTTGGATTATTTCGAGTAGACAAGATTTATTGGTGTGACAGTGGAATGGTAACTTGCTGGAAGTGTTTTCAAAAAGGTGTTCAGATGTTCCCAAACTAATGTGACATCAAGGACACTTGTTTTATATTTATTTAATGACACTTTTCAACCTTAGGTTTGTACCTGGAGGACATGGCCATTACATGTAGCTGACTATAAATTGAAATCAGACACACGATTACAGTCCGTTAATTATCTTCGTTGTATGAATTTGTCAGCAGAGCAGTTGGGCGTTTGAATGAGTTCTTTCTTGCCAGATACTTTTATCGTAACATAATGAACTTCTTTTTTGATAGATAGATAGTTTAGGAACTGGTCTTTGAAAATCGTGTTTGTGTCTCGAACCGAGTGCGTGAATGTCTCGAGTTTCTTCGAAACACGTGTTTCCAAATTTTACCTGAAGAAAATATATGGAATTTATTAAATAAGTTTCAGCGTGATTCTATTTTCTGAGCATTTGTCTTAATTCTTACAACTTTCTGTTGCAGAAAGATTGCTTTATTAGTCACAGTATTTACCCCAGAATATAAAATCACGTCGTTATTGAGTGGAAATGTGAAATATACACCATTTCTGGCTGCAATTTCCTTTCTAGAAACACGAGACACTTAATTTTTGATTGGCTTTTCTAATTTGGACTGTTGCCAGTTAGAAGACGGAGGAATTTTGTTGTTTTTGATTCCTGTTCGTATCGTTATAACTTGTTTTCATATTAGTTTTTGGCTTGTTATGTAGCCATTGTATATAGTTTGCCAATTAAAAGTCAGCATACCGTCAACAATCAGAACACTAGCCTTGTAAGCCTGGGGTCTCGGGTTCGATTCCCGGCGGTGCCCGAATTTATAACTTGTTTTGGGCAAGGCCGTGGTCTAGGCAACACGGAGTTTTCCTCCGTGGCATCCCAACAATTACTCCATTCACACACAGAAGAAGGCAATGGCAAACCACTTCTGGATCATCTGCCAAGAACGTATATGAACAGGTCCCAGTCCGAGAAAAGGATGGAAGGATCCTGTTCATATGGACCTGTCGTCAGACAGAACACTACAAAAGAAAATCGTCAACGAAGCATTTATCTGATTATGACGGAAAATGTCGGTTGGTCATTCTGCAAGATGATTCAATGATTATTTTACGAGTCATTCACAAAGATGGCAGACATAGAAACTATTTGTTTTGGGTATTATGCGATTAATATACAAGAGAAAAAGTGTTGATGTTGGTATTGAGTCATATAGCCATATGGACTTGCAGGCAGATACCAACGTTTCAGAGGAACATACTGCCTCCATCATCAGGCGTGAACATTACACCAGTTAAAATAAACATTATCATGAGTATCTGAAGACTTTATCAAAGCTCTTTGTCTCCTGTTTGCAAGATTCTATAACCTCTTGTGGGTGTGTTCACGCTCTGACTTTGCCAGTGCCGCTGTCAGTGCTGGAAATAATTTTCCAAAAGCCCTTTCGATATTAATTAAAATGTTTTCTTGTCATTGAAAATGAACTGCACAACGGATTTCCATCAAATTTCGTACGGAGGACTTCCAGCTGATTGTCGTAATGGAGACGGGCTGTCATTTCTGTGACGTAGGAACTGAATCGTCATTTATTAATTTTCGTAGTATAACAGACGTCTGGCTCGCCTGATCCGCCTTTCGGATACAAACCATCGGAAACTGGCATTTACGAAATCCGAAGGAACTGGCAGCGAAAGCTTCATTACGATTTGCGTGCATTTCTTTGCTTCTCTGAATGCTCGCTGTTCCAAGTAGATTTGTTGTTGAAGTGTAAGCATTTGGCCCTTTCTAAGCTGTTGCTTTAGTCTTCTAGTGTTTCATTTGTTTGTCGGAAACTGATCCTTTAGAGAACATGATAGGGCCTTTGCTTTGTTTCTGTAATACAAAACCTTACAGTGCATTCAGTGCACACGAAACATCTACATTTCTCATTTGCTGTTGATTTCAAAGAAAAGGCAGACCTAGGGGTGTCCATAAAATAAAACGTCCGCCTCATATGTGTTCTTCAAGCCTCCACGAAGCAGGGCCGTGCCTCGGTGCAATGCAAGGTAGCGAACGTAATGTACTCGTGCGCAGGTGGTCGTGTGATCGATTCCTGGTCGAGTAGAAGTTTTTATAGCTTCGTGCTTAAGCAATAACAGTAGCTCTGTGTTAGCCTGCTGGTCTCGTGCGCGGATGATTATGCCTTCGAATCCTGATTGATGCAGCCGCCTATATTTCTGGGAGATCCCCTCTGCGTCCGCCATGTTAGTTGTGTTGACTGTAAGAGGAAATTACAAATTAAGAGTTTGGGATTGGCTCCGGTTGCATGACGTCCATGCCAAATTTAATCCAAATACGTCCAGCGGTTTTGAGTTGAAACACGCGGACACCGCTGTCGTCTCTGCACGCCTTCATTTGGTGATTCGTGCACAGCAGAAGAATTTCGCCCCCCAGTCAATAAACAGTACAGCGTTGGCAGCTTCGCTCCTGTGCTTATCTGAACTGCCTCGGGCCTTAATCAAGTCGTCTCTGTTGTGCTGTGAATTTTAATTTATTTGCTTTTGCGCAAGTTCGTAATGTCTGCGGTGGTGACACGTCCTCGGCTGTTACGACACCTGTGAAGCCGGACAGACGAAGAAAATGAAGTCAGAAGAAGGGGGACTGCGTACACTGCGTCCGATATTCTTCGAAGGCAATGCCGAGCAACCTGGACGTTTCAGTAATGTAACGCGACGGCTGGCAAGATCACTCCTTACATCTAGAACGCTTCGGGCATTGTCTCCCGACAGATTGACTGAATGTCGTGATACAATGTCGTATCTTGGAGATCGCGTGCGTCAGCCCCCAGCCGATCAGATTACCTGTGAAGTTATTTCGAGATAAGGTGATGATAACTTCTGGTCGTACGCAGGACACGTTCGACTTTATAACGCAATATTGTCTGCTCTTGACAAATTTAATTTGACCATTTAACACGACATAACCCCCTCGCCTGAGTAAACAATTTTGGTCTTGGCGCCGTTTCTATGTTCCGGGTTGTACCGCCGTGTAGTCTGGCAGAAGTTTGCCGACGTTTCAGAGGTCTCTGCTCCCTCCTTCATTGCCCTTACGATGGAGGCAACAAGGACCTCTGAATCGATGGCGCTACAGCCCGGAAGACAGTCATATTAATACTCGAGACCCTGAGAACATGAAATAGCACGACAGGAAGCAACTGAGAATCTGTTCGTTCATTCCAGTCCAATTTTGAGCTCCGTGTTTTTGCAGTGCTACGAACCTGTGTCAAATGTCAGAAGACTGTGACGTTCCGGCAACTTCGGCCTGTGTCTGTCCAAGTCGTAACCTTTAACCTCAGAAAGCATGAAAATCATACCTTGCTCTCGTTTATTCCATGCTCCAAAAATAGATTTGATTTGTCAGTTTCATTGCGTGGAGATGAAGATGCCTTTGAGTGATGCGCGGAGGCAGTGTAAGGTTTCTGTTCTTCGGATTGCGCGTCGAAGTTGGGTCTGAGGCTTCCGTGACTGTGCAGCTCAGACTCAGGGAATACTTAAATAGTGCTGAGATGAGTACATAGCAGACTTTGTAGGCAAAAGTTTTTGGTCTCCGTTGTGTTTCAGATCGAAATTATTTTTGTGAGAGCGACAAAACTGTTGCTACATTCAGAAAGTGGGGAAGCCTCAGACGTAAATTGAGAGACGCTACAATTAATGGCGGGCTGAGCAACGGCCGAATAGACTCGGGGATTGCGCATGCCATGATTTGCGTGCAAATAGGGAGCGTGATTTTCCTCTGCCTTTGGAGTAGCTCCCACGTCCCAGAAAACGTGTTAAGGAAACTTCTCTTCCGTATTAAAATCCTTCATGCTTCCGGTCTTGTGTGGGTACGCAAATATGTAGACGTTTGTCGACGTTTTGGTGAGGTGTGAGCCACAAGCTCCCTCCCTGATAAATGACAGAAGCTCTGATCTGCTTCCTCGTTGGTAAACGCGCACCAATCACAGTCCCCCAAGGTCATTTGACCGAAAATTCAGTCGCTTTGTCTCCGTGACTGCTAATTACGAGCGTTTTTAAAAAGTCGGCAATTCATTAATTCAGTTCTCAC